CATTGGTATAGCCTACTTTACATCTAGAAGGCCAGATATCCTTTGCACTGTATAATGCCAAGCTATCATACCATGTCCATTTTCCAGGCCAAGTCTATTAGTCCTAACCTCCACCTTTTGAGATTTAGAAATTAAGTAGTCTTTAAAAGCCATGTCATTATAATAGTCCAGTGTGTTGTGATTGGCCGAATACCGTCATTATAATCAGTATTTACGTCCACACTGGATGCAACAAATGCCTCGTTTATAATGAGTTTTAATGTTTTTGTCATATTAAAAAATCATTATGATTGGTTATTGTCCAGCAGTTATCTGATTTCTAAGTCAATTAAAAGCTAGAAATTAGAGAACAATTAAAGTTGCCCATACACCAGTCAAAAGTTTTTGAACAGTAAGATTTTTCATGTTTTTTAAAGAAGTCTCTTTTGTTCACCAAGCCTGCATTTATTTGATCCAAAGTACAGCAAAACAGTACAATTTTGAAATATTTTCACTATTTCAAATAACTGTTTTCTATATTCTGATTTGCTGCTCAAAAAACATTAATAATAATTAATAATATATATTGTGGTTGTTATTAATAGTGAATAAATCTAAAGCTTTTGAGACTTTTTTTCATTTGTCATTAAGGGGGGTGCCCTTTTTCAGTTACAGCACATGCCCCTCAAAAGGTCTGTGCACGGCCCTGTTTCACACCGTACACTAGATAATTACCAGTGCAGTTTATTTTGACCAGTGCTTACATTATGTTTGGTTGACCACTATTCTGATCCATCCCAACTGACTGAGCTTTTCCCTGCTTCCAACTGGAACATTTTCTGCATATCATTTGTCTCCTCTGCCTGGGCTTGATAAAAAAATAAGCTAGGATTCTGTTTGTGCCGGAAGCATTGCATTTCTATTTGCTTTGTAAACCTTGCCACTCGTGTGCAGCTGCACAGATCTCAGTCTAAAGAAAAGACAGCAAAGTTAAAACAAAAGTGTTGAAGCAAGCTAAGGTAGTGTATTGACAGCTATAGGGTAAGCATTCAGGGTAAGCAATCTCAGCATTTTCAGCACATTTTGCTATGCTCATCAGCATAAACATTTGTGAGATTCATTTCATAGGAACAACTGAGGTTAGTTAATTTAATTTTTGTCACTGGATAATATTGATCTGTGAATTTGTGATATTTATATACATAAAATATTTTAAAGAACCATTCAAAAGTTTGGAGTTGTTTTCATGTTTTTGAAAGATTTCTCTCATGTCAGGCTGCTTGGTAACACTTTAGATTAGGGAACACATATTCACTATTAACAAAGAGTTTTCCCTCAATAAACTCCTAATTCGTTGCTGCATATTGATAGTATGGATGGTAGTTGTAGTATTTATGTTGAGGTATGGGGTAGAGTTAAGGGCTCTAGCATCACTATGTGTTTTATAAGAACTAATAAACAGTCAATATGCTAGTAATATGCATACTAATAAGCAACTAGTTAATAGTGAAAAGTGTTCCCTAATCTAAAGCGTTACTGGCTGATCAAACATTAACAGTAAAATTGTAAAATGTTATTACTATGTGAAATAACTGACTTCAATTTTAATAATTTAAAAATGTAATTTAAAGGGATAATGAAAATTGCCCCATGATTTACTCACCCTCAATCCATAGGTGTATATGACTTTCTTCTTTCAGACGAATACAATCGGAGTTATATTAAAAATGTCCTGGCTCTTCCAAGCTTAATAATGGCAGTGAATGGTGGTGGGGTTAATAAAGGCCTTCTGAAGTGAATCAATGCGTTTGTGTAAGGAAAAAAAAATACATATTTAAAACTTTAGATGTCCAAAAACGAGGATTTGTAAAAAAAAAAAAAAATGTCAGAGGATTTCGATATAAGCCAAGAGGAGACCCTATGTTGACAGCACACAGTTGAAGGGCATTTATTTAATTCATTTAAATTCCATTCAATTTGTATAGTGCTTTTTTCAGTTCAATTCCATTCAATTTGTATAGTGCAGTACACATTGTTGCAAAGCAGCTTCACAGAAAATGAAAGTTTCTACATTACAATTAGGAGTCATTTATCAGTGATGACTATGTCAAAGTGATTTCCATATGGCAGAAATCTACAGTTCTAGGATATGCTGTGGCAGAAAACAGAAAATCAGAGACAGAATAATTGGCATAGCTGCTGTTAATAACATCAAGCAAGGAATGATAATGTGCCATTTGATCAGATATAACCAGAGTACAAGGCTATGAGAATCATTTATTTGAAAAAAAAAAATTTCTTTTTTTTTTAACTGCATCCTTGCTGAATAAAAGTATTAATTCCTTCTCAAATACACACACACGCACGCACACACAAACACACACAAAATCTTTCTGACCCCAAACGTATAGTGTATATTTATTATATTTCAGTAGCTACTTTTCCTGACACTAAAACAAATTTCTTATTGAAAATAAAACAGTTGGTTTTGTTTTAGCTTTTAAATATGCTAATTATCAGAAAGCATTTGACATGTATTTTAAAACTTTACTTTTAAAATCACAGATAAGTCAGTAGA